GATTACAGAGAAGGGACTTTGCCTTATTCCTACAATCTGTGCGTTGCCTCACAATCAGCCAAGACAGAGTTTAATTTTTCCAACCTGAAACCAGAAATGACTCCGCCTCAGGATCTTCTTTGTGAAGATCCTTGTATGGATGTATGTGCCCGCAGTGAAGACCCCCAAATCGCTTATGACTCGTCTTTTGCCTCTCACGTGAGTTTCTGCAAACATGCTTTTATTCTCAATTGTGCATAATTCTTTTGTTTATTGTTTTTCATTTTCCTAGTGATGGTAGTGGTAGAAGAGGTTTATTGGATGGGCGGAGACTGGTTCCTTATTTGCCCAATAGTCTTGGCAGTTACATAATTAGTATTTCTCAATCTGTACTGTTGGCAATTTTGTATGATCAAAAAATATTGGTAAGGAGAGCTCGTTCTGGGATGTCACCACCTTTAGTAAGAGTATTGTCCTTTCTTAGTTGATGTGTGATACTGTTTTTTTCAAACTTTATTCTACATAAATGTACTGACAGTCCTTCCTGCTTAAGTTAAAGTCCATCAAATCTATTATAGTTTTTTCATCTTTTTGTTGCAATGTGTATTTTTAATAGAACCTTCCAAGAGTTAAGTTTCTTAGCACTTCTTTGCCTTCTCACATGTGGCAAACAGTGATTTGGATCACTAGTTTCCAGTGAATTTTATTCCCACTCCGTAGTCTCATTCAAAAATAATTTTGGGGGGCACCTGTCTTGCTCAGTTAGTAGAACCTATGACTCTCCATCTAGGGTTTGTGGGTTCAAGCCCTATGCTGGGTGTAGAGATTCCTTAAAAATAAAATCTTTTTTTTTTTCAACATTTATTTATTTTTGGGACAGAGAGAGACAGAGCATGAACGGGGGAGGGGCAGAGAGAGAGGGAGACACAGAATCGGAAGCAGGCTCCAGGCTCTGAGCCATCAGCCCAGAGCCCGACGCAGGGCTCGAACTCACGGACCGCGAGATCGTGACCTGGCTGAAGTCGGACGCTTAACCGACTGCGCCACCCAGGCGCCCCAAAAATAAAATATTTTTAAAAATAACTATCTTGGGGCACCTGGATGGCTCAGTCAGTTAAGCATCCAACTCTTGATTTTGGCTCAGGTCATGATCTCACAGTTCGTGAGTTTGAGCCCTGTGTTGTGCTCTGTAGTGGTAGTGTGGAGCCTGCTTAGGATTCTCTCTCCCTCTCTCTGCCCTTCCTTTGCTTGCTATGTCTCTCTCAAAAATAAACTTTAAAAACTATATTGAAAAATAACCTTCTTAACCATTATGTAATAACTTATTTTTATACCCTCTACTTTATTGCTGTTATGATGAGGAATGTAATGAGTCTTTTTGTGTATAAAGCCTCTTTCATAATTCTTTTTTTCAGTATAGGTTTCTGAGAAGTGAGTCAAAGTTTTTCGAAACACCTCATTTTACCTCTTAATCCCCAACAATTTGTGAGTTCTTTGAGGATTGTGACAATTACCTTTAGTATGCTCTCCAAAGTTTGATGACTTTAATACTCTGAATAAACAATAGCCTTTCTTGTCTGATAGAATGCATAAGTAACTTCTAGAAGGTAATTAGTATGTGAGGAATAAAGAACTGGCTACTTGCTGCTTTATATTAAGTTTTCTACGATTAGTAAGTTACTCAAAGTATTCATGTGTAAGAAAACTCTGAAACATGCAATGATAACACACACACACACACACACACACACACATATATATATATATATATATATATATATATATATATATATGAAAACTTTCCTTTTAGTGGTTATTTCTAAAATCAAACTTAAATTAAACTTATAGATAATAGTAAAATAATACTTTCTGGATGTGTCTTTATGTGGTACTGAATATTGTCTGCTGTTTACATACAAAACTTCAGTTTAACTTCTCTGTCTTTTTTATCTTTATTATTTATTTTTAATATCAGAGTTATTTACCAATTGTTTTAGGGCTTTGCATTTATATTAGTGATGCACTCATTAAACAATGAAAAACTGAGTATCTATTCTATGAAAGGTGCTGTTCTAAAATTTGAGGACAGACTGTGAACATGATAGTCACAAACATAGCTGTGGTCTAAAATTTTCTTTATACAAAATTAATAAACCAATTACCTTCCCAAACCTATTATCATATTTGCCAACCCCATTTGCTCAGGGGTAAGACTAGCTCTTGAACAGTAGATGTTTTTTACAAGAGAATTGAAAAGTTGCCCATATTTTAAAGGGTCAACTCATGTGAGGGAACTTGTTTCTGGATAGGAAGGGACTAGAGCTCAGACCTCCAACTTCCCCGACCTGACACTGTTTTTTCACCTATTCTTTCATTCTTCAAGTTAATCCTTGTTCCTGTAAAGGATAAATGTGTCACTCACACAATGCACTGTACTGAAAATGGGCTATGAAAATAAATAATGGAAAAACTTAGGAGAGAAAAAAAATGTTAGAAAAAATCACCATATTTTCTTTAAAAACAAATAAATTACTTTAGAGGGCTTATTGTACAGTAACATTTGGGTCATGCCTGGATTTTTATTACAAATAAAATAACGGGAGCTTGAATTTTACTCTTTTGGGGAGAAATAAATTATGGAAAAGAAATGGTATAAACATCTTTTCTTTACCAAGAATAGATTGCAGTAACAGGTTAGGACTCTGAGTGTCGCTGTTCACCAGTCAGGGGAAAAAGACAACAAGGAATTTAATCCAAACCACAAGATTTCTGCATCACAAAGCACTAGCCCTGTGGCTTTGGGAAGCTTCAGACTGGACCCCAGAACTCCATCATCCAACGGTGAAAGCACATAATCTTGGACCCTGAAGATTCTGGGGCTCCTCTGACCTCCACTAAGGGAGCACCCAAGTGCAAGCTATTCCGCAGCGGGGCTGCAATGGCGGCTCCTCCTTATCGGCCAGACTGCAGCCGGCTGGGCAGGATCTGCGTTCTCCTGGGGGCTCTCTGGGAAATACAGGCGGAACAGATACGATACTCGGTGCCTGAGGAGCTGGACAAAGGCTCTTATGTGGGCAACATCGCCAAGGACCTGGGACTGGAGCCCCGGGAACTGTCAGAGCGGGGAGTCCGCATCATCTCCAGAGGTAGGACGCATCTCTTTGCTCTGAACCCTCGAAGCGGCAGCTTGGTCACCGCGGGTAAGATAGACCGGGAAGAGCTCTGTGAGAGATCTCCAAAGTGTGTAGTAAGCCTGGAGATTCTTCTGGAGGACAAAGTGAAGATTTTTGGAGTAGAAGTGGAAATAATCGATGTTAATGATAACGCACCCAACTTTGGGATAGAGCAAAGGGAAATAAAAGTCGCTGAAAATGAAAATCCTGGGACAAGATTTCCTCTTCCTGAAGCTTTTGATCCAGATGTAGGGGTCAACTCCCTGCAGGGTTACCAGCTCAGTTCAAATGTTCACTTCTCCCTAGACGTGCAAAGTGGAGTGGATGGCATTAAGTACCCTGAGCTGGTGCTGGAGCTTGCCCTAGATAGAGAAGAAGAGGCGGTTCACCACCTCCTCCTCACTGCCTTTGATGGAGGCGACCTGGTTCGCTCTGGCACTGTCGAGATTCATGTAACTCTTGTGGATACCAACGACAATGCTCCTGTATTTACTCAGCCAGAGTACCACGTGAATGTTCCGGAGAATGTGCCAGTGGGCTACTGGCTACTCACTGTAAAGGCCACTGATCCAGATGAAGGAGCCAATGGAGAAGTAACATATTCTTTCCGCAAAGTGAGTGATAAAATGTCCCAACTATTCCAGTTGAATTCTTTGACTGGGGACATAACAATAGTGGGGGATCTAGATTATGAAGACTCTGGATTCTATGATATAGATGTAGAAGCCCATGATGGACCTGGTCTCCGAGCCAGAAGTAAAGTTCTGGTGACAGTTCTGGATGTAAATGACAATGCTCCAGAAGTCACAGTTACATCTCTCACCAGCTCTATCCAAGAAACTTCTTCCCCAGGTACAGTAATTGCACTTTTCAATGTGCATGACAGTGATTCAGGAGAGAATGGCTTTGTCACATGTTCTATTCTGGATAATTTGCCATTCACACTTGAAAAGACCTATGGAAATTATCATCGTCTGTCGACACAAAGAACACTGGATAGGGAAGAAGTCTCAGAATATAACATCACAGTAACTTCCACTGATCATGGAACTCCACCACTGTCTACAGAAACTCACATCTCATTGCATGTGGCAGACATCAACGACAACCCACCTACTTTCCCTCATGCTTCCTACTCTGCCTACATTCCTGAAAACAACCCTAGAGGAGCTTCCATTTTATCCATGTCTGCCCAGGACCCTGACAGCATTGAGAATGCCAGAGTAACTTACTCCTTAGCTGAGGACACACTCCACGGGATGCCTCTCTCCTTCTATGTTTCCATCAACTCTGATACTGGTGTCCTGTATGCATTGTGCTCCTTCGACTATGAGCAGGTTAGAGACCTGCAACTACTAGTGACAGCCAGCGACAGTGGGGACCCTCCCCTCAGCAGCAATGTGTCCTTGAGTATTTTTGTTCTGGATCAGAACGACAATTCCCCTGAAATCCTGTACCCTGCTCTCCCCACTGACGGTTCCATAGGCGTGGAGCTGGCACCCCGATCAGCAGAGCCTGGCTACCTGGTGACCAAGGTGGTGGCAGTGGACAGAGACTCTGGCCAGAACGCCTGGCTGTCCTACCGTCTGCTCAAGGCTAGCGAGCCAGGGCTCTTCATGGTGGGGCTGCACACGGGCGAGGTGCGCACTGCACGGGCCCTGCTGGACAGAGATGCGCTCAAGCAGAGTCTGGTGGTGGCGGTGCAGGACCACGGCCAACCCCCTCTCTCAGCCACTGTCACACTCACTGTGGCGGTGGCTGAAAGCATTCCAGAAGTCCTGGCTGACCTGAGCAGCCTCAAGCCCTCAGCCTATGCTGATGACTCTAGCCTCACGCTGTACCTGGTGGTGGCGGTGGCCACAGTTTCCTGTGTCTTCCTTGCCTTTGTCATTGTTCTGCTGGTGCTCAGGCTGAGGCGCTGGCACACTTCGCGTCAGCTCCAGGCTGTGGGGGTTGGATTGGCTGGAGTGCCAGCCTCGCACTTTGTGGGCATGGATGGGGTGCGAGCTTTCCTGCAGACCTATTCCCAGGAGGTCTCCCTCAGGGCAGACTCCAGGGAGAGTCACGTGATCTTCCCCCAGCCCAACTATGCCGACACGCTCCTCAGCCAGGAGAGCTGTGGGAAAAGCGAGCCTCTTCTCATAACTCAGGATTTACTTGAAACAAAAGGAGACCCTGGTTCTCATCAGGTGAGTCAATCTTGCCACACCAAAACATAGGCAAAGAGCTATATAAATGTCTCCAACTGTATAAGGTAGGTAATTGATGAAGTAAAGGCATTTTTTTTTAGTATTCTATTACTTTAAAGGGGAGGAGCAGATGATTCCTCAAGAATAATCAATAGCAGTTAGTACTCCTAAAAGCTGTTTATTATTTATCATTTTTAGTCTTCATGTAGTTACAGTTTCAACAACAATTTCTTAACTATATATCTCTAACCATCTCTCTTCTTTAATAGAAGACTGAGTATTTTTAACTGTCCTCTTTTTTACACTTTGCTTGAAGTTTGTTTTTCCTTGAAAGGGTATTTTCCATTATAATTAAACAAACAGTGGCAATTTATAAATATTGGAGAAAATATTAACCTTTATTTATTTATTTAGTATAATTTATTATCAAATTAGCTAACATACAGTGTGTACAGAGTGCTCTTGGTTTTTGGGGTAGATTTCCATGATTCACCGCTTATGTACAACACCCAGTGCTCATCCCATCAAGTGCCCTTCTCAATGCCCATCACCCATTTGCCCCTCCCTCACCCCCCCATCAACCCTCAGTTTGTTCTCTGTATTTAAGAGTCTCTTATGGTGTGCCTCCTTCCCTCTCTGTTTGTAACTATTTTTTCCCCTCCCCCAAAATATTAGCTTTTAGATCTAATTTTAACAAGGATAGCTCTCATTTGGATTGGTATATTTCAAATATTTTGTTGTTGCAGTTTGTGAGATACACCAGTAGTGACTACGTGTGATTCCTTTGGCTCACTTCTGGGATTACGAAAAATATTGCACATTTTATTTCACTCATCTTTAAGTAGGTTGAAGGAATAATTTTAATAATTTATAAATTTCCTATTATGGCATCACAATGAGACCCTTTTCAATTTCTAAGGAAAACATACCTTTCAAAATCTCTCCTTCTTCATCATGAGAGTCACTTGTGGAGATTGGGTAACTTAGATTCTGAACTGATATGATTTATGCTACTTAGTAAGTAGGCCTCATCCCTGTTCCTGAAAATTGCTCTCAGGTAGCTCTGAGATGGCTCTGGGATGATCTGATATGGGGGAAATATTTTGTGTTCAAGGGATATGCAACACTTTTGTTAAATGTGCCTTCATTTAGTTCCATGAGATAATTAAGAATTCAAGAGTGTGTAGGGCAACACAAATTAGTGCTCTTTCATAGCTGCGAACTGTAGCAGTAAACTGTGAACTATGCCTCAATTCAATTTAAGAAAGGGCATTTTAGTTTTTAAAAAAGAATTTACTTATTTAAAACAATTTTCTTTTTAGTTTAAGTAATCTTTACACCCAACATGGGGCTCAAACTCATGACCCCAAGATCAAGAGTCACATGCTTTTTGGACTGAGCCACACAAGCACCCTGCATTTTAGTTTCTAAATGCTTTTGCCTTCATGGGAAACTGTGTTGCAATACATAGAATAAACAGAATGTCATGTGATACAATTGTCTGGCATGGGGAAAGGAGAGAGGAAATAATATTGAGCAAGATTCTGAGGGGAGATTATGTAAAATATTGAAGCTTATCTGAGGAGAGATTATTTGTCTGAGATTATTTAAAATACTGAAGCTTTAAAAGAAAATTTGGAAATACCAATTGGCCTGAAACTGTCAAGCATTTTTGGAGGTTGGCATTAGGAATACATTCCAGAATCAGAGTGATACCTATTTTAAATGCTTAGGAGAGCAGTAGATAATTAACACCCTAATATCACACAGAAAAAAAACATTTTTGTTTGGGCACTGGGTTTCTTTTAGAAAATATTTCTGATTAAGTAAATTATTGTACAACCATATGATGGATTACTACATAACTGTAAGAAATAAATTTGAAAGCTATGTACTTATATGAAATGATTTCAAGATACAATGAATGAAAAAAGCAAGATGCAGAACATGGTATATTGTATACTTACATTTATGTATTAACGTGGGGGAGAACATTTATAAAAATTTGCTGCACTACACAAAACATCTCTGGAATGATACACACAAAAACGTAATACTTATTTCTCTAGGGATAAATGTGGTATTGAAACAAGACAGGGAGAGAATATGCGTTATGTACCTCTTCAATTTTGGAGCTACATGAACATATATTTAAAAACAACTGTAGATTCAAAAAAGAAAGGTTCGCAAAACGTTTATAAGCATTTGGTGCATTTCCACGGGAAAACCTCTGGGTGTCGCTGTAGGTCAAAAAAGTGAGAGAAAAAGCATTTGGGAGTCTCTTAGAGGGTAACTTCCTGCTCAAACCAGCCACATAGAGGACACCAGTACTGATTCGGATACAGAAAACAAAAGCAGGAAAAGCGACCCTACCCGGGATTTTGCCATCCACAGAGGGCTTAATTCTCCTCCCATCCAAAAAGCAGAGCCACCGTGAAGGGAGACAGGATGAGGCCGAGGCCGAGCGCAGAAAGGAGCAGCCCAGCGCGGTGGCGGCAGGTATTGTTGCCCTTCCTGCTGTCTTTGTTCCGCGGGGCTCTTCCAGATCAAATCCGCTATTCAATTCCCGAAGAGCTGGCCAAAAACTCGGTGGTAGGAAACCTCGCCAAGGATCTGGGGCTCAGTGTCCGGGATTTGCCAGCCCGGAAGCTGCGGGTTAGTGCGGAGAAAGAATATTTCACTGTAAACCCTGAGAGCGGGGACTTACTTGTGAGTGACAGAATAGACCGAGAGCAGATATGCGGAAAGAAGCCTCTGTGTATTCTGGATTTCGATACTGTCGCTGAAAACCCACTAAATATTTTCCATGTAGCAGTAATAGTACAGGATATAAATGACAATACCCCGCTATTCAAACAGAATAATATTGATTTAAAAATTGGAGAATCCACTAAGCCAGGTAAAACATTTCCATTAGACCCGGCCCTGGATTCAGATGCTGGCCCAAATTCACTGCAAAGATACCATCTTAATGACAATGAACACTTTGATCTCATAGAGAAACAGGCTCCAGATGGACGTAAATATCCTGAGTTGGTTCTGAAACATTCACTAGACAGAGAAGAACAGAATCTCCATCAATTGGTTCTAACAGCTGTGGATGGTGGAGACCCACCCCAAAGCGGCACCGCTCAGATCCAAATCCAAGTGACCGATGCCAACGATAATGCCCCAGTTTTCATCCAGGACGTGTACAAGGTCAGCCTGCAGGAAGGTGTACCTCTGGGCTTCTCCGTGCTTCAAGTAATGGCCACTGATCAGGATGAGGGCGTCAACGCAGAAATCACCTACTCCTTTCATCATGTGGATGAACTAGTGGAAAAGTTTTTTAACTTAGATAAAAGAACAGGTGAAATCACAACAAAGGATAATTTTGATTTTGAAATTGCTAATAGTTACACTCTCAGTGTAGAAGCAAAAGATCATGGAGATCTAGCAGCCTATTGCAGTATCCAAGTTGAAATTCTCGATGAGAATGATTGTGCACCTGAAATGGTTATTACTTCGGTATTTACTCCGCTACCAGAAGATTCACCACCAGGAACTGTGATCGCCTTGATAAAAACAAGAGATAGAGACTCTGGAGAAAATGGAGAAGTTTACTGCCGCATCTTGGGAAAGGCCGAGTTTATATTGAAATCTTACTCCAAGAACTATTACAAGCTAGTGACAGACGGGCCCCTGGACCGGGAGGAGAATCCAGAATATAACATCACTATAATGGCCACCGACAGAGGTAAGCCGCCCCTCTCCTCTAGTATAAACATCACTCTGCACATCGCAGATGTCAACGACAACGCGCCAGTTTTCGAACAGGTTTTCTATTTGGTTCATATTGCCGAGAACAACCCTCCAGGAGCCTCCATCGCCCAAGTCAGCGC